AAAAAAAAAAAAAAAAGACACTTGGGTGGGATAAGGAGTAAGAGTGGAGGGCTATGGGGTTACTATCATAAATAAGAATGAAATCTGACAAAACAGCAAAATATTTGGGAGATTAAGGGGTTCTTTAAGGGTTTAAACTGAATTTTACGTGTCAAAAGAAAAGTCGTCAGTTAAGAGTAAGGGATATATATAGAACTGATTTGTAAAGGCTCGGAGAATGGGTTGGAAAATTAGTCCTCAAAGAACAGAGGGTGATGGGGTATTTAGCTCAGAGGTTCCACAGCCTGCCTTGCAAGCACAAGGACCCGAGTTCTAGCCCCGGTACCAAAAAAAAAAAAAAAAAAAAAAAAAAAAGAACAGAGGGTGAGGGGAAGACCTGCCTCAAGATGAAAGAGGATGTGGGGCTAAGAGTCCGGCCTAAAGTGTCAGGAACACCAAATGGGGAGCAGTACAAGAGCAGCAACTCGCAGTGCAGTGGGATGGCAGTTAATACTTGGGGAAGGTGATTGTGACTGTTTCCAACAACCTAGTTTTCGAAGTCCTAGCAATTTCCCGGCAACAAGTCTTCGGTGCAGTGCCACTAGAACACAGCTGTGGACCAGGTGACTAGGACACTAAGGAAGCAGAAAGTGAAGCCGGGAGAGGTAGCTCTAGATGACATCAAGCTCAGGGGATGGGCAGGGCCGTGACGTCACGGAACTGGCGTTTGCTCGCAAAGCGGGGGTCAGTCAGAAAAGGGGGTCTGTTCTAGGGTGTGTGGACAAGCCAAGTTCGGTTCTGGGGGGCCTTGTGTGGCCCGGTAGAGCCCAGCCGCTGGGCCGGCCCCGACTCCTCCCCTCCGGGCGCGGCCTCCACCTAAGCCTCCCGCCTCCCTCACCTGCCGCCGCTGCCGTAGTTGCTGCTGCCGCCTGCCGGTCCTCTAGCTTCGACAAAGAGCCGCCCACCCTGTAGCTCTTCCGCTTCCTGCGGAAGTGACACTCTAGCTATCGGACCCGGAACCATACTCTATGGTGCGCGAACTGGGCGACAGGGGGAAGTACCCAGCAACCTTTGCGCGTCGCCATAGTAACCGGATCTAACAGCACGGTTAAGAACGCGCCGCTGGCAAAGGAGCTCTGCCTGAGTTCACGAAATGTTGGGGCGGTTCCAGCATCTACCTTAAACTAGTCCGGGAACCTAAAAACATATACTCCTAGGTGTATACGTCACTTATCTGTCAGCCAGAGGTAGTTTACATCATACACCCAGACTGTTGCCTACGTAGGATGATTTTCCACAGTACAGGTAGTGATAGGGCTCAGCTACCGACACAGAATCCCCATTCAATGGAATTGTAAAAAAAAACACACCAAAAAACACGGAACAAAGACAATTTAATTCTTCAGCTGACAGCAGAAGAGATGATTTATTGTACACGCGTTACACTCGACCATAACTGAGACCAGAAGTAGTCCGGAATGCCACAGGTCCAGGGCAAAAGACCGACCGACGGGGACTGCTTCAGTCATGAACAAGGTGGCTCTCTGCGGTGGTCTTGGCGATCAGATGGTAATGAAGTTCTTATTCCTCGAAACACACTCCAGACAGTAGCATGCAGTCCGACAACTTGTACCAGCGTCCTCAGCCTCCAGCATTCCTTATTTCTGCTCCTTAGGCCTCCATGAGTGTACAGCTATTTTACTTGGACCTTTGCCTCATCTTTCTTCTTTTGCGCTTCAGCCTGAAAAGGAGACACGGTAATGTAACCACTACTACCCAGGGTTTTTATTATCTTACACATGCAATGACTACATATTGTTAAATTTAACAAGCACTACAGTTCTGTCCTGTGTTCAATACCTGGTTCTGCCGAAGCAATACTTTTTAACTGCTTTCTCCTAAAGTTTTTAGAATCCCAAACCAAACGTTGTCCTAGGCCCTCCGCCCCCCTCCCTCCCCTCCTGGATTGGCAATCTAAACATACCTGCGCATTCGTTTCTTCCTCCACTATCGAGCGACCCGACCACAGCAGCAGAGAATAGAAAAGATTTTCATTAGCAGATTTCAGTATGGCTATTAAGTGAACTATTCAGAGCCAAGCACCAGATAGGTTCTTAAGTACGAAGGCCAATAAACACCGCCCGACACCAAACACCAATTCGCCGTTTGTTTTTTTTTAAACCCGCGCCCTTTCACTCCTACAGAACTTAATCACCACCTCCTGATTTTCACCCCAAGTATGCTTCCTCTCCCTATTATTTTTTGGGCACCCTTCAAAACCCAGTGACTGAGAACCATGGCGGATTTTTCTGGCCTGGATCTTCCTCCTCGCCAACGCCGACCTACCAAATTCATTGTTAAAAAGACTGCTCACCTTGGCTCTCATGGCGCAGAGGTTTCTGCAGGGAAAGACAAAGAGATTGCAGTTACTTTCCTATAATGATGGCTAATATAAAGGTCAGATGTTAATGGATTGTACGCGGAACACGAACAAAACCATAGGAAATAACTCACCTAAGAAGATGGCGCTAAAGCCGAGAGGCCGCCAAAGTTCCGCCTACGGAATTTAATGGGTCGCCCAGTGTCGTCATTTCCGCTATTCCGTCCCTCCCCTCGGGGCGTGGCTGCCAATTGGAGTAGTAGTGGCTTTCGGCCGCTTTCGGATACCTTGTAAGGGGTTGATTGAGGATTTCTTTTGGAAAATAACATTTTGAATCCGAGTTACTAATTCTCCCTTCTTATTATTGAGAGCATCGAATATATGTGTGTATATCTATTTCCAGTATGAGACCTAAAGAGGAAAATGTCAATGATTCCGCCTTCGCTCATAGCTTCCTGGGAGTTGAATTTTCTTAGTAAAGTCTTCCATTTTATTATGAATAGGTGCCGATTTTGTTACGAATAGATGCGGACTGTACAAAAATTCCTAGTTTGCTTTACTGCTTTGCTTTATTTTTTAAGCTAAACTGTTGCAGGAGATGCGATCTTGGAATTTTCATTTCTTTTTTTTTTTTTTTGGTACCAGGGATCGAACTCGAATCATTGCGCTTGCAAGGCAGGGGCGGAACCACTGAGCTAGATCCTTGGCCCTGGAATTTTCAAAGGTCCTAAAATTCCAGAATATGGAAGGACGAAAAGCAGAAAGTTGAGAAAGACGTAATGCTTCAGAGTTTAGAGCAGCTCTTTTTTTCCTCCCTAAAACTCCGGAAATAAAATAGCCAACTATGGTCTTTCTCCACAATGACTGAGACAATGTCACAGCGTTTGCTGCTCACAAGGCATCATTTTTACAGAAAATCCTGCGGTGATTCTCTATAACTGAAGGTGAAAAACCCAAGGACAGAAGGGAAGGAAGCAAGATCGGGTTGTCTTCTCTAGAGGAAGTATATAACATTTGGTTTTAAAGTAAAGTGTAGTCTCTTGGTATTGTCAAGTGAGCTCTGAAAAGCAGATTCCCAGAGCTTCGGCTACAGAAAACGTAAGGCTAAAAAGAACCTGTAAGTATAGAAGATCTTTTTTTGTTTTCGTTTTTGTTTTTTTGGACAGGGTTTCTTTGTAGTCCAGGGTGACCTCGAACTCATGATCTTGCTCCCTCAGCCTACACTGCTAAGATTACAGGCCTGTGCTGCTCAGGACTACTATACTCAGATATATCTCCAGGCCTTTATTTATTTTGAGATGTTCTTGCTAAATTATTCAGAGTGGGCCGTTTTTCTTTTTTTTTTTAGACAAGGTTTCACTATGTAGTTCAGGCTGGGCTTGAACTGGCAGTGATCCTGCCTCACCCTCCCAAGTGGTGGGATTACATGCATGTGCCACCACACCTGGCTAAAACTACTTTTTAGAGCTGTTTTACAGACACATAAAAAAATTAAAAACAGAAGCCGGGCGTGGTGGCTCACACCTGTAATCCCAGCACTCGGGAGGCTGAGGCAGAAGGGTCGCTGTGAGTTTGAGACCAGCCTGGGCTATGTAGTGAGTTCCAGGTCAGTCTCAACTATATAGTGAGACCCTGTCTCAAAAAACCAAAATAAATAAATAAAAATTAAAAATAAAAATTAAAAACAGAATAGAAATTACCCACTCCCATCCATTTATAGCTACCCATATTATCATCTCCACTAAAGCATTTTGTTATTACCTAGGGAACCCATGCTAATATTTTTAAATTAAGACTTATTCTTGGTGTACATTATATAGGTTTGCACAAATAATGGGTGAGTAGGCAGAGGATTATAGCAATACAACTATTGTGTACTTTATAGTGGTCAAAACATATCATTGTACAGGTACCATCTTCAGCTTTGTTCAGTATGGTTATTTACAGAACAGTACCTCACATGTAGAGTATGAAGTATACCTGGGTGTGGTATAATCCCAGCTACTTGGAGGTTTAGGTAGATGGAATTCCAAGCAGAAAACCAGCCTGGACAATTTAGCAAGATCCTAAAAGGGGTGGGGACACTGCAGGAATGTCACTCAGTGCTTCTCTGGCTCTCCCAGCACTACCAAAACAAGACCAACCTCTAACAAATGATCACTCATACTACTGGCCTGGTCCTGAAACACTTGCAGTTTATTGTTTTATAGTCTACAACACTATCCTAGTCCTGAATAAATGTCAGCAGTGAAGGGTAATGTTTCTACTTTAGGAAATCAAAATGACTAAAAATCCAAGATAGGACCAGGGATTTAGCTCAGTGGTCCCAGCACCTGCTTCACAAGCACAAAGACCCAAGTTTGATCCCAGGTACCAAAAACAAAAAAACAAAACAAAAAAAATGCAAGATAATTTATTGCTGTCTTCAAAGAATACAGCATTTGTTTCACTCCAAACCCAAGTTAATCCCTCTTTTAAGGTAGAGTTAGGTGATGCATACCTATAATCCTAGCACTTATGAAGCTGAAGCAGGTTTGCTCCAAGTTCGAGGCCAGCCTGAACTCATAGCAAGACCGTCTCAGAAAAAAAGGTAGAATAACACTTGTAATTGATCACTTCAACTGAATCTCCCCATCTCCATCAAATAAGAGCAACATACAAAAGCATATTATGAGCAAATTGAAATTTATTTTAACGCCATATCATTTTCAATGTTTTAAAAACGTTGTAAATCAGTGGGAGCCCTAGTTCCCTGGGACAGCATGCCAGAGGTACTGCAATGTGTCACCTTTTTCTATAAACCCCCAACAATTCATCCAACCCAAGTCCACAGTTTCAGAAAGCTAGTTCTCTTCAAGTCAGTATATTCCTCAGGTTCCTGGTTTTTCCTTCAAGGAAGTGAAGTCAAAATATCTCAAACAGGGAACAAAATCACCTGAACTTCCGCTTAGATTTGTGTAAGTTGGAGTGAGACGGCCCCACTGACTCCAGAGAATAGGGCATACTTGAGATGGATTACTTCTTACAGCTTTGTGAAAACTGGGGCGAGGAAAAAAAGACCCTGCAGAAGAAAATGACTAAAAAGGTTCACAAGTGAAGATCCAGTTGACAGATGACAACCTCTTCATAAATGGAGAGACTTCAGCTCCTAAAAATGGGAGGGGCCTAACTAGGCAGCCTGGATCAGATTTGGAATCTGTCACATGGAATAAAAACCTTTTGAAGAACAGCTCCCTCTTAATTGTGAGGGTAAAGTTTTGAGGGAATGTGAAACGAGGAAAAATAAGCCCCAAACAACCGATGAGAAAATGTTGATATCAGAGTAGTATAAAAATTTCAGCTGAGTTTTTAATGGTGGTTTTTAATTTCTGTTGTAGGGCCACAAACTTTGACCAAGCAAAATAGTAGAAAAGGCTAGAAAGAGGGGCTTGAAGACGATGAATTTGACTCCTGATTTTATTATTCAATTTCTTTTTCTCTATTTAAAGTAGTCTTCGGTGGCTGGGAAGCCTGGCCTCCCAAGACCAGTCAGTTGGAGCTGGTTGTTGTCAGTGGAGGGGAGTGAGTTGGGGGACTGGGGTTGGGGCAGGGAGACCCTGCTCTGCTGGCGGTCCTGGATGGAGAGGTCAAACTGCACTCTGCAGAGCCTGGGTGTAGTGGGAGGGGATGAGGCAGGAGCGGCAAGCTGGGGATATGGGACCCACCTCAGTCCCCAGCTCCATTCTCTTCTAGTGTTTCCCCGCTGGTAGCATTCTCTGCAGTCTTGGAGGCCTGTATTTCAAGACAAGGATGGGAGGAAGACATGTCAGTTTTGGTTCCTTTTTTTTTTTTTTTTTTTTTTG